CACACGGCAAGGCTGTGGATTCTCCAGCAGTGGAAGTAGTAAGAGCAGGGTCTGAGAGCAGGTCCTGCTTCGGGCTGCAATGCGATCCTGCAGCACGCTGGGGACCGGAGCAAACTCAGGGAGCCCTGCCGTGAGCAAGAGCATCACCTTCACAGGATGGCTCAGGGGGAGTTTTCGGTATTGCTTGGACTCGGGTTTGATTCCCCTCGGCAGCTCTTGAAGCAGTGATTGAATGCATAGAGCCGCTCCCTGTTGTGCTTCGGGGTTTCCGGGCTTCATTTCTTGCTGGGTTTTCAAGGCTGTGGGAGAAAGGGGACCTTTTTCATTTGTATTGGGTGGGAAGACTTCTGCTGGGTGAACTCCTGTGTCACGTAGGAAGGGTTTTATCTATCCTTTAGGTTGCCTTTGAGCATCTGATTTCTGAGACCCCGTCTCTGAGCTGAGGGGGAATAAGCAAATTTGGAAAGAAATGAAGAATTGATGGATCAAACCAGCTGCTGGCATTTTATAGGGCTCCTTTCTCAGCGCCGCAGTGCTCTCTGTCAGACGAGATGCTCTTCTTTCGGGTCGCATCTGAATCTCTCTCACTGTCGTTCTCGCTGTGTCTGGTTCACGGATCACTCTGCACTGGCCTGTGTGCCTGTCCGTCTGTCCATCCCGCCCACGGGTGCCTCTGCCTCCATCCCCATCCGTCCACGTTTGTCTTCCCCTTCCTTTTGGCGGGCAGCAGCTGCCTGGATCTGCCGAGGTGCGTGTTTGTGGGGGGTTCTCCCCATTTTTCAGACCAGGGAACCTGCGTCGGAGCGGGGCGGGGGGGAGGCAGGCTTTGCCCCCCACCCCGGTGCTCTGAGCACCTGCGCCCATCTCCCATGGGTGCCAGCTCCTGGGAGCCCAATGTGCCTCCCTCTGCAACTGGGGGTTTCTCCGGCTGGGCTTTTCAGCGAAGGCAAACCCATGGTCCGTGTCGTGCTGGCAGTGTCCATCTCTTGCTCCGCAATCTGTTTCCATATTTATATGTCCAGGGGATGGGCCTGGTGGCATCCTCTAAAACTGCATCTGTTTATTCTGTAAACTAAAGAACTGTAAATAAAGTTTAGCATTCCTATTGTAACAAATTAATTTTTATGCAATAAATTATATTTCCTAGTCTAATAAAAAAAAAAAAAAGAAACAATCTGCTCGCTTCTCTCATGTTCATCACTTACCAGTCCCTGCTGGGTTTAGCATCTGCAGGGATTCGGGTCCAGCTCAAGCAGCGACGGCAGCATGGGGATCCCCGTCAGCGTCCCTCTGACCTGTTTTTGGGTTGGA